CCCGTTCCACTCATAGATTGTCGATGTGAGATTACAGAGCCAGATCCACTCATAGATTGGCGATGTGAAATTGCAGAGCCAGAGCCAGAACCACTCATAGATTGGTGATGTGAGATTGCAGAGCTAGAGTCACTCGTAGATTGGCGATGTGAGATTGCAAAGCCAGAGCCAGAGTCACTCATAGATTGGCGATGTGAGATTGCAGAGCCAGAGCCACTCATAGATTGACTATGTGAGATTACAGAGCCAAAGTCAGAGCTAGAGCCAGAGCTAGAGCCAGAGCCACTTATAGATTGGCTATGTGAGATTATAGAGCCAGAGTCAGTCATAGATTGGCTATGTGAGATTACAGAGCCAGAGCCAGAGCCAGATTCAGTCATAGAGTGGCTATGTGAAATTACAGAGCCAGAGCCATAGCCACTCATTGATTGACTTTGTGATATTATAGAGCCAAAGCCAGAGCCAAATCCACTCATAGATTGGCTATGTGAGATGCCAGAGTCGGTCATAGATTGACTATGGGGGATTATAGAGCCAGAGCTAGAGCCACTCATAGATTGGCTTTGTGATATTACAGAGCCAAAGTCAGAGCCAGATCCACTCATAGATTGATTATGTGGGATGCCAGAGCCAGAACCACAACCAAAGTCAGTCATAGATTGGCTATGTGAGCTTACAGAGCCAGAGGATTTGTTTTCTTCATGGGACCCAACTTCCTTACGAGTTTGAGTTTGATGCAATATACCTACATCGCTTGAGGTCCTAGTCAAGTTAATTGAAGCTTGTTCCTCATTTTGCGCCTCAACGATTCGTGTGCGAGTACGATGATATTCCTCTTGTTGCTTTTCCTCTATATATAACAATAGCATGCAACTATATGGATTATGGACATTAATATTTCTTTTTTTCCAACTTTAATTCTTTTAAGCTAGCTAATTAACAAAAGATTACTTTTTTATTACGAGGACGATTAAGACATTTATGATATCTTTTTAATTGACAGAGAGTTAACGGAGAATTAATTGGGAGTGAGTCTCTATCCCATCTTTATAATGTAGATGGACATTTTTTTACCATTGACATTGGTAAAAACCAGGGTTCTAGGGGTAGCCGATGCTGCTCCTTAAATTTTTCGGCATAAAATAATTTTTTTGGGAAACTTTCTCGCGTAGTGTAAATTTTTCGGCATGCCACCCCAAAAATCACGTGTGCTATACCTTGGATTTTTTCTGGTTCCGCTACCGGTAAAAACTCTTATGTCATGTGTATTGTGTAAAACAAAATTTTAAGCACTTGCCTATGTTTTGGTAGCAAAGGACGAGGATTGATTTAAGGTGCTCGTGAATGTTGTGAACTTTATGAGTCAAGCTTGAAAGTTCACATGCTTCGGAGGTAGCTGTGATGTACCTGTTGTTAATTGATAACATGTAACAAATAATATGTTTCTTGTCTTATAAATTACCATAATCCAAAAACAACCTTGTGGATAATTAATTGAATTAAAATAAACTTACTCATAATTCATGCCCAGAAGGCTTGTTAGCTGAGATGTGCAAGCCACCATACTCTTGATGGACCAATAAGTGGCAGTGGGAATATGATCAGCTGTTGCTGTTGACTTGGGTGGTTGGTCATCCTGGATATATTGATGAGGTAGATTCTTGAATGTTATAATACACTTTGTCACATCCAACATAGCCTTAATCAGTTGATTAATTGCATCAAACCGAGCTTTTAGTATATTGTAATGCTTGATAACATTTGGCATATGTTTAAGCAAAGCGATTAATTTAGCAAGAGGATTAGTCGCAAATAATTCAGCCACAAGCCAAAACTCCCCAAAGATGATAGCAAATGCCCCTAATGATATCACCAACTTGTCTTCCCATGAGTAACTCGAAAGCATGTTAAGAATTGCCAACGTGGATGCATGTGCGTCTGTTCCATCCGAGCATTTGCATGTAAGCTGCCAACAATTAAAAATAAGGTTTTACTTTACTCAAGAATTACAATATAAATACATAACCATGCATTTATCTTATTTATATATTAATTTACCTCGCAAGAAACTGTATGAATGATGTCGTCAAACCCTAATAAAACTTGCTTATAGTCTCCAGGCAGTGCATGAATATTCCCACTATGCGCCCCCTGCTATATATTACAAAGCAAAACAATATATGTATGGTAAGCATTGTGAAAATTAACAAAAAGAAATAAAATAAATAATCGTGCATATATAGTACTGCAGTGATGATAATGACAGAATCGAAATCTGCAAGAACAGCATGACGAAATGTTTCTTCAATGGCAGCAAGAAGTGGTTCCAAATCAACTTGGCGACCATCGGGTGCATGTGTCGCTAAAACGCGCTTCATGACGGCACTGTCATAAGATGAACTGAAGATTCGCATCATCTGTTCCTTCTTAACCAATTGCCTCAACATTTTTTCGGCTCCAAATTAAGGTAAAGAGAGAAGGTATGATAATTAAATATGTGTGTGGTTTTCTGATTACGCAATATCCAAGGATTATATATAGAGAGAGAATCTTATAAAACGATATAACTTTAAGTTCCATATTTAATAAAGTAACTATCTTATTGGAAAATATCTTTTTAGCACAGTTTTCTATTTAATTTTTGAGAAATTAGATATTATTCTATTTATTTATTTATTTTTTGAGACGACAAACTAATCTACTGCTAACTATCACCATCTAAGTCTCAAGCATCTAAGTCTCAAACGGGACTTGAACCCATGACCTCTCAAATGAGAAAGTCACTCCTTATCGCTAAACTAAAACCATGACTTGAACCCATGACCTGCTAACTATCACCATCTAAGTCTCAAGCATCTAAGTCTCAAACGGGACTTGAACCCATGACCTCTCAAATGAGAAAGTCATTCCTTATCGCTAAACTAAAACCCATTTGGTATGACAGATAAATGTGTAGAAAGATGATAGAAAAAAAAAAGTAAAAAGACATTTGATTTCTCTTTAATTTTTTTAATTAAGCGGGAATCTAAGCTATGTGATTAAACATTGATTTTTCTTTTAGATAATTAAAATTTAGTAGATCATTCTTTTTTTAAATATATTGTTATTTTGAGAGTGTAATTTTCAAGGTTCTAAATAACGCTATGTGGTGATTTAGCGACAATATCAAGTCTCAAACTTTTATGAGTCGTGGCGACGTCGTTTGTAAGGTGTGATTTAAGACGGTAATTTTGTGCATATATATATATATATATATATATATATATATATATATATATATATATATATATATATATATATATATATATATATATATATGACTTAAGTGACATTTAGTTAAAGCTCGACGTCGGTACAAACCTTTCTGCTCGATCTGAATTATATGTAACTTGTATACACTAAGTAATCGTAGAAGGAACAAGCATGGGTCACATTACTTACATTTCATTTACTAAAAAAATATTGGATTTTCTGGAAAAACACACTAACTTTTTCAAAGAACAATGACAAGTTTTTCATCACAAAAATAAACTTATGAACTCAACAACTTAAATATTGATACACTTTCAAAACCACTTGTATTATCAGGAAACCAGTAGACAGGTACATACACAGGTTTCAAGAACACGGAATATAGTAGCGTCACGTCTTAGTTTTTGCTGTATACTTTTGGAGTCAAATATACAATTATTCGAATACAATGTAAATAATATATTATCAATACAATGGTTGTTATTGTTTTAATTACTATTATACAGTTGTTATGATACTGTACATGACGTCTTCCGCCCACGAACGTTTCTATCATTCTGGTTTGGGAGTGTGACAAAATGGTATCACGTGTCATTCGAAGGCATAACAAATTTTTTAGAACCTTGGTAGTTTTTGTATTATATTTAGTATATCTGCTATTTGTAAACTAAGAAATGAAATAAAAAATATTATCAGCTCAATTTTAAGCATAATAAAGTTTATCTTACCCAACTCGAGACTTACACTTTTTACTAAATACTTAGGGTAAAAATATTCAGAAAAAATCATATACTGTTTTCATTAATTATTCTAGACATTTAACTATTTACATAGAATTTTATTTTTTTCTCAAATTAAAAAAGTTCTCAATTTATGATTAATTAATAATTATTATAAGACTAAAAATACAAAAAAGTCAATATAATTTTAAAAGTCTATGGTTTAATCACTTAACTAAATATTATTATTACGATGGTGATTATGAGTTATTGTCATAATTATTATCATTCGTGATTTGTAATCCACACTTTATTATTATTATTATTATTATTATTATTATTATTATTATTTTACAATTTGCTATTTTTATAATTAAGATGATGAATTATGATTATTATTATTATTTAAGATGAAAATTATTATTATTATTATTATTATTATTATTATTATAGTTTATAATTCGTTATTATTAATACCCAAAAAAAATGTTTTTATGACCAAAACATGTTTTCTATAGCCAAACATGTGTTTATATCAAAAAAATGATTCTTACACCGTAGAGTTTTTACACCAAAAAATGTTGCAACACATCCCACTTTGTACAAAAGTATTCCCTAGATCAGTTGATATGTGTCTGTTTGTTAGCGATCGTTAAAAGGTTCCTGCCTTTTAGTTTTGGGAAATAGACTTATAAGGTAATTAATTTTTCGGTTTGTTCATATCTGGATAACTATTTTTTTTTGTACACATTTAAGTAGGGATGTTATTCGGGTCGGAACCGAACCGACCCGAACCCGAATAAACCGAAAACCGAATAAGGGTAATTGTTTGAACCGAAAACCAAACCAAATAAGCAATACGGGTTCGATTCGATTCGGGTATTATTCGGTTCGGTTCGGTTCCGACCCGAATAACTCAAATAACATGTACAATATGATTAAGGACCCGAATAACCCAAATAACATTTACAATGTGATTATAAATATTGTATTTTGTATGACTTTTGTAGCTTATGAATTTCATAACAAATCTTTTAAAGAAACAAATTAAACACTAAAAATTAAACATCGAAAACACCCAAAGTATATAAGTTAAACATTAAACATTCCACACCCAAATTAAAATATGAATCTTAAGTTTTTATCCATATCCAAAATAACATTTTTCAAACACGAATTAACTATTCGGGAATATTAATTGGTTGTTTTCCCTTTCCATCTCCGTTCTTTATCGCCTCTTCTAAAGCTTTCGCGTCCTCACCGTCTTTCAAAATTTTATCAATGTTGTCCACAATTGGTTTTCTTAATTTCCTTACCCAATCTTGAGTGCAAACCAAAGCCTCTACTATATTTGCAGACAAATTTGTTCGATATGGATCCAATATCCGTCCGCTTGTACTAAACGCCGCCTCTGACGCCACGATAGAGATTTGCAGTCCCAAAATATCTATTAACATAAACATAGAAAATGTTAAAATATAATTAAAAAAAATATACAAATAATAAAGTTATACCTTTTCGCCATACGGGATACAATAGGGTAACGAGATGTATTTTGTTTCCACCAAAGTAGAATATTAAAAAATTTATTGTATTTACCTGACTGCTCGTTTAGGTATCGTGTCAACTCCATTTCCATTGATGCCGATGGGTAATCAGTTTGTACTATCAAATCACCCATGAAGTCGTTCTCGTCATCAATCACAACTACATCTTCATGACCATGTGTTTGATTTTGAGAAGAGTCGGTATTGACAAACTTTGATTTGTAGAAATAAAAAAAAATCTTAAATCTTTGTTGAAGACCCCGTATTAAGGCCTTAGCCTTCAAAATGACTTCCGAGTTGAGCATGGGATCTTTTTGTGGATTCTTCAACTTAATCAACTTCTCAAAAGCTTGTTGAAGAAAATCAAACTTGAACCGTGGATCTAATATGACGGCAAAATACAAAAAATCATTTAACTTTTCAAGGTCGCCCCAATACTTATCATATTTATCAATCATGTCCTTCCCGATCAAACAAAATTGGGGACTAGCCGCCCATTCTTTAATGTGTTTATATACATCACATATTTCTCCAAAAAACCGATGTGCCATCGGTTTTGTTGACGTCAATAATATATCGGTTTTCACCTTGAATTTCTCGAGAAATCCAACCATAGCTCTACAAATGTTGAAATCTTCTTTTGAGGGGGTCAAAACATCTCGAACAAATATAGGATCTATTATAATAAAGTAAATGTTAGTATTATTTAAAAAAAAAACAGCTTTAATACACCTTATTTAGGAGTCTGTATCTCACTGAATATACAACCAAATAATGCATTTAAATAGTGTAAACTGTAGTTCAAATTGTAAACTACAAGCTGGAAAACAAATCGGGCTAATCGGAAAAATAACGAAGACGTTATGACACTTCAAAGTTGGCTAAAAATTTGGAAAAATGCTGAAACAGAAAAACTCAGATTTAATATCCAATGTTTAGAGGCCTGTAACTCACTGAATATACAACCAAATAACGCATTTAAATAGTGTAAACTGTAGTTCAAATTGTAAATTACAAGATGGAAAAAAATCAGGCTAATCGGACAAATAACGAAGATGTTATGACACTTCAAAGTTGGCTAAAAATTTGGAAAAATGTTGAAACAAAAAAACTCAGATTTAATATCCAATCTTTAGAGGCCTTTAACTCACTGAATATACAACCAAATAACGCATTTAAATAGTCTAAACTGTAGTTCAAATTGTAAACTACAAGCTGCAAAATAAATCGGGCTAATCGGACAAATAACGAAGACGTTATGACACTTCAAAGTTGGCTAAAAATTTGGAAAAATGTTGAAACAAAAAAACTCAGATTTAATATCCAATGTTTAGAGGCCTGTAACTCACTGAATATACAACCAAATAATGCATTTAAATAGTCTAAACTGTAGTTCAAATTGTAAACTACAAGCTGGAAAAAAAATCGGGCTAATCGGACAAATAACGAAGACGTTATGACACTTCAAAGTTAGCTAAAAATTTGCAAACATGCTGAAATTTAAAAAATAAAAATAAAAATAAAAAATAAAAACAATGGAATGGAATATGAAATTACCTTTGACTTCAAACATGCCAAAAACCTTCTCCAACTCCACCGCAATCTTCAATAACTCGTATGTGGAGTTCCATCGAGTTGGGCTATCATTGCACAAAAACTTTTTGGATTCCACATTTAGCTCTTTCATGCATTCTTTGAACCTTTGAATCCGTTATGTAGAATTCCTAATGTATTTAACGGCCTTTTGCATGCACTTGATACTAGATTGATGTTGATCAAACCCATCCCAAACAATAAGGTTAAGGATGTGGGCCATACACCTTACGTGTAATTATTTCCCCCCATCGTACAAGTTTGGTAGTTTTTTCATTAGAATTTAGATTGCTTTGTCATTCGCACTAGCATTGTCTACGGTTATGGTCATTACGTTATTGATAACCCACTCTTGAAGACAAGTCAACAACGTGCGCCCAATGTCTTCT